ACATACCCAACATTTAACCCAATAACTGCCAGATATTCTAACATACTAACACATGCTCCCTAGTTAGAGTCACGTAGGTCTATGCTAAGTCCAGAACACCAACTTTCTGATAAGCAAAGTCAATGGGGAAGCCAGATTCACTTTAGTAACCACGTTACTAATTTAACAACTTAAGTCAGTGGTTCTCAACCTTTTTAATGCTGCGACCCCCAACCTGTTGTAAGTCGAGGACTAGCCAATTGGTCGTAAGTCGAGGACTAGCCAACCGGTCATAAGTCGAGGACTTCTGCCTGGGAGTGCCACACATGCGTTGTGCCGCCCCCTGCGCCGGCTGAGGCATAGCTGGCAAGGGGCAGCGACGGCACAGGCCGACCACCAGCTGGCCCAGCCCAAGGGAGGTAAGGCACCCGCCGGGCCCCACGTGCATCAGCAACCCTCCCTGCGCCCACCGGCCTCCCACTTCCCACCCCTGGCCCTCTTTTACTTACATTTTTAGTAGTTGCTCAGCAGGGAGGGGTGGAAGCTTCCAGACAGCTCGCTTTCGCTGCAGACAACTTGCAGCACCGTTTGCAGAATGGGACTTTGGGTGGGCTCAGCAGGGCAGAGACAGCCTGGACAATTCCTATTGGCTTTTGAAAGCCAATAGAATTAGACTCTATTCAAGAGAGTCTATTCTATTGGCTTTCAAAAGCCAATAGAATAAAAGGGTGTAGCACAGCTAAAGAAAAGGGGGAAAAAATGGCGGACTGGTTGTTTGGCGACCCCTGTGAAATGGTTGTTCAACCCCAAATGGGGTCACGATCCACAGGTTGAGAACCGCTGACTTAAGTGATTCCCCATAACAACTGTGTCAAGAAAAGTCATAAAATGGGAGCAATACTCACTTAACAAATGTTTCTCTTAACAACAAAAATTTTGGGCTCAATTGTAGTCATAACTCCAGGACTACCGTATATGCCGGCGTATAAGGCGACTTCCGCAAGCGTTAAAATCGGCGCCAAAGACAGGGGTCGTCTTATACGCCGAGTCGTCTTATACACCGGAAATACTGGTAGTTTCCGGCGTATAAGACGATGTTCTAGGAATGTGACTCGGCGACAAAGACGGGGGTTGTCTTATACACCGGGTCGCCTTGTACGCCGGCATATACAGAACTTGTATCAATTGCAATTGCCCTTTGTATGTTTTAGACTGCCATTCCTTAGGAATGATGAGAGCTTCAGTCCCACTAGAAGATGATAGTCAATTCTTTATTACAGGGGGTCTTCAAACTTGGCATTTTTTTATTCCCACGCTGGCTGGGGAATTGTGGGAATTGCAGTCCACGAGTCTTAAAATTGCCAACCTTGCTTTTTATTGGAAAATATTGTCAATGAAGAACAAGAATAAATTGTTCTTTTAAAAATAATAAAGCAAGCATAAATTAAAATAGTATTAAATATATACATTAAAATAGAAAGGAGAAAGAAGAAAATTTTAAAGATTTCTCTCTACTCTTCACAAGGAAAAACCTGAGTGAAGTTATAATCTTCAATAGGCGTATAAACTATTTAAATCCATAAAATTATCGTGCCTCGGCCTCCATCTCTCCTAGATTTAGGATATAGCATGTTAGATAGCAATCATTTTCTGAAAAGACCAATAGACATGTATATGGCCTACTTTAGAAAAATCTTAGGAAAACTGTATGATTCACTTTGTTTGGCTAGTTAAAGTAACAAGCAGATTGTTGGCTGACTTTGGATCTGTATTTCCCAAAAACTGGTCTTCTCTAGAATTGCAAAATAATTACCAGAGCCAAGGAGCTTCAGAACTCTTGACCTTATTATGTCAATATTGTTTCTTGGACTAAGTGATTTGTCAAAAGAATGTGAGAGAGGTGTTCCTTGCAGCTGGGTAGTTCTAAGGCCTTTGGGAATGGATGCAGTAAGAGAAAACAACCGGAACCCTAAACAAAGAGGTTCCTATATGCTTTCCACGCCATGCTCCGTGCAAAGATAGATGAAAGTTATAGTCTGGCATAGCTGGAGGACACCAGCTGAGGGATTCATTACATGTACAGAAATCTCTAATGGTAGATTTGGTATTTTGTTTTCTATAAATCCAATTGTTTACTTTTTGAAATCCATATTCAAACTTCGAACATTCACATGGATCTTTTTAAACATGGCAATCAGACTAGCTTATTTTATCATTTGCTTCCCTATCTCATCATATGATGTTTTCTTGCCGTTTGGAGGATTTGGTGTGTCTTTTCATTTCATAGAGTTCATCAGTACAGTACAGCTTTCTGGATTTATAACAGTGAGAAAAATATTAAGGGTTTCCAATTACAAATAGTAAGTCTAAGCTGCTCAAGAAAGTGGGAAAACCTATGAAGATCTAAAGATGGGACAGAGAAAGTAGACAATAAAGAGCACAACGCTACTTTACAAGCTCTCATTTCCAATCTGAAGTTAGCAAAGCTGTAGCATTGTTTTGTACAGTTGTTTTGTATACTATTAAGCAGAATCACCTGTTGTCAGAGTAGCATTGATGGAAAAATACTGACTTACTAGATTCTCTTTGTGGGATGAAAATGCAGTCGTTCAAATAGGAGAACGGAGCCCTGGGACTAAAGTTCTTAATCCTTATAACAGGAATCATCTTGTCTACCCATCCCTACCTGCTCAAAATAAGCTACATTGAATAAAATATGTCTGACATTTGAGAAGACAAGCATGAGATTGCAATATTGACTCTTAAACCAAGGATGGACAACTGTCAGGAATGAAAAAGCTACTTTTTTCTTTTACTAAAGGACTCACCAACTTGGACCAAGTGCAGAATTCTGGTTCAAGAACGCCAAAATTTATTGTCTATGGAGATTCTCAGTCATCCAGGTCATGGTTGTCCCAAAGGTGCTTTTTTCAAGAGGCAACTGGACTTTCTTGTTTTTTCTTTGAAGACATTTCACTTCTCATGCAAGAAGCTTCTTCAGCTCTGAGAGGATGGTGGGGAATGCAAAGATTTATACTCCTTGCAGACAGCTGGTCATTTGCTTTCTTTTAGAGAGTCACTGAGGCCATTTGGAGGTTTATCTGTGTCTTCAGGGCCACAGTAGTGCAAATGGGTATGGAGCCTTCTTGGAATTGCTGAAAAGACTATGTTGTGTGAAGCTTCTTGGATGAGAAGCTAAATGTCTTCAGAGGAAAAACGAAGTCCAGCTGCCTCTTGAAAAAAACACCTTTGGGCCAAAATTTATCAAAATTGAACAACAGATTATTAGGCCCCAAGAGTGTGGAATGATCCATCTCCTGGTTATATTAACTCTGTTGAGTGGTGTTTTACTTAAGTTTCTATGTGCTTGAATTTTTGTCTTTATGATGTAATTGTTTTTATTTCTATTGGATAATGTTCACCACCTAGAATCACTTCTTAAGATGGGCAGCTTTATAAATTGATTAAATTAAATGATTAATTGCCTGAGCTCCTGCTCAGCTACAGAATTTGTTACTAATACGAGAACCAAACTCGCTAGTATAATGAGTCCACTTCTGATTTTCTCCCAAGAGATCTTCTTTAAACACTTAGTTTAAGGGGAGGAGATGGGAGGAATTGTGTTTCCATGTTTCATCCTTGTTAGATCATTGACAGCCCAAAGCTCTTTGCTGTATTACAAATCATCCCAACATGGATGGCAGTATGTGTGTTCTTCCGCTATCTTCTATTTTTAATAAAGTTGGCAAGAGATGTTGATTTCTAAAGAAAGACTTCTCAATTTATCCAAACAAAGATTGTTTTTGGATGAATGGATTGAACAGTAATGTACTGCAGCAAGAATTTTATAGCATGGGACAGGTTTCTCCAACTTAGCATCTGTCCTGCAGATACAAGTAGTTGTCGACTTACGACTACAATTGACCCCAAAATTTCTGTTACTAAGCAAGACAATTGTTAAGTTTGCCTCATTTTGCAACCTTTCTTACCACAGTTCTTAAGTGAACCACTGACATTGTTAAGTTAGTAACATCCTACATTATAATTGTCAGTGCCCCAAATGGGCAGGCATGCTGGTTTTGGAGTGACCTTTCCTAGAAACGTAATGGCTTGGATAGAGATGTGTTGATGGAAAGAAATATCAGCTGTGTTTTTACGTGTTTTATTTATTTTTATTTCTGGATAAACTTATAAATAGTTTCGGGAGAAGCAGTAAGGAAGAAACAAATGCAAGAAGCAAATCTGACAATTTTGGCTTAAATGAGGCTCCTCCCCCTATTTCTCTTCCATTTATCAAAAAAAGTACAGGTAGTCCTCGACTTACAACAGTTTGTTTAGTGACCATTCAAAGTTAAAATGGCACTGAGAAAAGTGACTTAAGACCGTTTTACAAACTTACAACTGTTGCAGCAGCCCCAGGATCACGTGATCATGGCGACATGATCAAAATTCAGACATTCAGCGCCTGGCACATATTTATAAACTTCTGACAAGCAAAGTTAATGGGGATACCAGATTCACTTAACAAGCATGCTTAACAACTGCAGTGATTCACTTAGCAACTGTGGCAAAAAAGGTCGTAAAATGGGACAAAACTCACTTAACAAATGTCTCAGCAACAGAAATTTGGGGCTCAATTGTGGTCATAAGTCAAGGACTACCTGTAGGAAACAAGTTGGGGGTTCATATGCGCATGAGGAACATGGTACTAAAAATGGTAGATACGGGCTCACTTAGGTTCAGCCGAGAAATCTCAGATGGTTGTCAATAAGGCATTATACTAGTCATTGTGTTTTCATTTTTTGCGGCTAGGGTTCTGTGGCAGCTTTTTTTTCCCCCAATACCAAAAAACAGACACAACATGAATCATGTCTAAAGCATGAGAGCTACAAATTCAAGGATAGGTGTTATCCTGTAAGGAGAGCATATTGGCTTATTTTCCTATCATATTGAAGGATGCTGCATCTTGCTTTAGGTGGGTTAATGGCATCCACTTTCCCATCCCTCTTTATTGTTAACAGGTATTCGACACCTCTGATGTGCCTGCTGGGGTGGTGAATATCATCTCTGGCTCCCGGGATTATTTGAGTCGAAATTTATCTGAGCATCATGATGTCCAAGCCATGTGGTACTTTGGCTCTAAAGAGGTAAGTGTTGTTGCAGGCTGTGGGATGGGATGGGCCAATCTGCCATGGCCAATTCACCATGGCCAATGTGCTATAGAACAGCTCATCGCAGTCAACTTGCCGTGGGACAGTTCAGCATTTCAATGTTATTATTTAAAATAGCTGAAAAAAATATTTTAATTTTTGTCATTTCATTTTGTCCCTCCTTTTGCATCCTTCCTTTTTAATGTTTCTTTTCTACCTTTTCTTCAATATTAATGCAGTGAGTTGTCCCGTGGCGAGTTCGCTGTGGTGAGTTGGCCTGTGCAGTAAAATACAGAACTACAGCCTCAGGTTTTATCAACTTAAGTACTAGCCATTTCTATAACAACAAGTTATATTAATCAACAAAACCCCAAAGTCAAGAGTTCACTTTTTTTGTCTCAAGCACAAAGTCCAGAAGCGGTTTCCGAGTTGAAACAAAGCTGGATATGTTCTTTTCTGTAAAGAGAGATTTGAGTCTGCTTGGGAATGCAGGTTGACAGTTTTCAACTATGAAAATTATGTTTTTGTTTGTTTATTTGTTCATTTATAGAATTTATATGGCTGCCCACTCTGAAATGCATGTTGTTCTCAGTTCTTGAGTTTGCCAACTGTTCAGCCTTCTGTAGGGGCACAAGCCCTATTTGAAAATTATATGAACATGCCCAAGCCTATTCTATTTTCTTAAGTTGTTGTTATTACTACTAGCAAATTTTGACTTTATAAGCACACCATTGCTGTTGCTCCTTTCTTAAACTTCCTTCTGAGCCTTAATGTTTAGCTTTGGCAATGAAAGTTAAAGGCTAGAACTGCTTTCTAATGAAATCATAATGAGAAGCGCTTTCTGCCTTCAAGACATAGCCAAGGGAGCAGGAAGGGATGGTTTCTCCTACCCTTAAAGCCGTAATATTGGCATTCCCCATCTGTCAGTGCCTTGCAACTCTAAATGCTGATACTACAGTATTTGTACTTTATTGTAAGAAAACTCAAAAAATTACCACTTCCTGACAAACAAATGACCCAAGAGCAGCCTGTTCAAACAAGTCCTGGGTCACTGGACTCCAGGAGATCCCACTACAGCTAGTTCTCGGCTGATGACCACCATTCAGCCCTAAATTTTGAGCCCAAAATTTCTGTGGCTAAGCGAGATATTTGTTAAGTGATTTTTGCGCCATTTACAACCTTTCTTGCCACAGTTCTGAAGTGAATCGCTGCAGTTGTTAAATTAATAACACAGTTGTTAAGTGAATCTGGTTTGTCCCATTGACTTTGCTTGCCAGAAGATCACAGAAATTGATCACGTGACCCCCCCCAGACACTGCAACCATATAACTATCAGCCAGTCGCCAAGCTTTTGAATTTTGATCATGTGACCTTGGGGATGTTGCAACAGTTGTAAATGTGAAAATCGATCATACAGGAGTGGCCAAAATTGTGGAAACCTTTTGGGAAAAGTGTATTTTTGAGGGTTTTTTAAAAATATTTTATTGAATAACAAAAATTAAAAACACTGAACATGGTAAATCAGATTTGACATACATCACAGTTCATATTCACAATTAACTTCTAATATAAGAAAAAAAAACCTTTACAATAACATCACTCTAATCTCAATCTTAACTTATCTCATTACAATGACTACCATATTTTTCCCCCCACCATCTATAAAATTTATTCCAGATTTGGTAAAAATCCGTTTCATCCTGATTTTTGAATCTCTTGGTTAACCTATCTAATTCTGCGCAGTGCATAATTTTATGAATTAAGATTTCCTCACTAGGTATAGCCATAGCTTTCCAATTTTGAGCGAATACAATTCTTGCCGCTGTAACCACATAAGTGAATAAATATATATCTTCTTTACTAACATTATTTTCAAGAATTCCTAACAACAATGTCTCAGGCTTATACTGGATGTTTTGCATACTCATTTCTGTTACCCATTCCCAAACCATACGCCAATATCTCTGTGCTTCCTTACATAGCAACCAAACATGAAAATATGTGCCCTGTTCTTTTTTACATTTCCAACATAATGATGAGTATCCTTTGTACATTTTGACTAATCTTGCTGGAGGAAGATGCCATCTGTAAATCATCTTATACGAATTTTCTTTGTATGATGACACCAATGTAATTTTATTATTTCGCATCCACACCTGCTACTATTGATCCAAATTGATGTTGTGTCCTAAATCTATCGCCCATGTCACCATTGTTTCTTTAACCTGTTCTTCAAATAACCTGTACTCCAATAGGTGTTTATAAATATTCCTTATTTGTTGTTTTTTTTCGGACCAAGCAAAATTTTATCTAGACCCGTATTTTGTCTATAAATACCCCATTCATGTTTATCTTTCAGATATCTTGCCTGGATCTGGAGATAGGACCACCATTCTATCTCTATTCCATATTGTCTTAACTCTTGCTTAGATTTTAAAAGATCCTCTTCTGTCAAAATGTCTTTGTACCTAATAACCTTATCTTCCCCGAACAAATTTGGGTATATAACTGCCTCCAATGGCAATAACCAGGTCGGAATCTTTGTGTAATATTGAGATTTGACAGTATTCCAACTTTTAATTAACCCTTGCCGGACCTTGTGTTTTAAAAAATATTGATAATTTCTATTTTGCCCCTTCCACATATGAGCATGCCATCCCTGCTGAAGATCATAACCCTCTAACTGAATACATCTTTGATTTTTTAAGGTTATCCAATCACTAATCCAAGATAAGGCCGTGGCCAGGTAATATAATTCCCAATCAGGAAAGCCTAAACCACCCCTTTCCTTGGCATCCTGTAAAGCCTTTAATTTTATTCTAGCCTTTTTACCAGCCCATACAAATTCTAAAGTTATTTTATTTAACTCCTTAAAGAAATTTTTATCCAAGAAAATTGGAATATTCTGAAACAAAAAAATCAATTTAGGTAGGATACTCATTTTTACAGCAGCAATTCTCCCAAGTAACGAGAGATGTAAATTTTTCCAATGTTCTAGATCAACTTTAATTTTTTGCATTAATTTAACATAATTATCTTCTTTAAGTGATGAACAACGTGCAGAAATGATTATCCCTAAGTATTTAAATTTAGAAACTACTTGTATACCTAATTGAACCTCGAGGAATCTTTTTTGAATATCAGTTATATTTTTAGTGATAATCTTTGTTTTATTTTTGTTTATTTTTAAACCTGCATAATCTCCATAATCTTCTAAAATTTCAAATAATTTCTGCCCAGAGTATTCTGGGTCTTCCAGAATAAATGCTAAAACATCTGCATAAGCCTGAAGTTTATATTCTTCTTTCTTAATCTTGAGTCCTCTAATCTGTTCTTCTTGCCTTACCGCTCTAACAAGAATTTCTAGAGTATAAATAAACAGCAATGGCGAGAGAGGGCGTTCCTGTCTAGTGCCTTTCTGTATGTTAAATCTATCTGTTGCCACCCCGTTTATTATGATCTGCGCGTATTGTTTGGAATATATTGCAGTTATAACGTTTAAAAAATTTTCTCTGGCTTCCATTAATTTTAATTGTTGTATCATAAATTGCCAATTGACATTATCGAAAGCCTTTTGAGCATCCAAAAACAAAAGTGCCACTTGCCGATCACTGTGTGATTCATAAAATTCTAGAATATCTAAGATTGTTTTCATATTCTGTTTAATCTGTCTATTTTGTAAGAAGCCATTTTGATCCGGGTGTATAAAATCTATTAAATATTTTTTAAATCTCTCCGCCATTATTGAAGCAAAAATTTTGTAGTCCGAATTCAATAAAGATATGGGTCTATAATTTTGTATCCATATTTTTTCCGTATGGAAAAAATGTTTTTAGAATCAGTGTTATATTTGCCTCTAACCAGGACTTAGGTATTTTGGCTTCGGTAAGTACTGCATTAAAGAAAAGTGTATTTTTGAGGTTTGATGGCTAATAACACCACTTTTGGGGGGGGAGTAGTACCATAAAATTATATATTAATGGAAAGACAGTTTAATCAAGAATGTAATGCAACATAGTTTGTTCAATTATCTGTACTGTATTCTATGAAAAGTTATAGCCAAATAACCAGAAAAAGGAAGGACAACTTGCTTAGGTTGATATCAGGTAGCTTTCCTTCATCTGATTGTAGCCAATGAGCATGAGTGTTTAGAGAGCCAATCAGGTGCCATCTTGTTTTGGCAATGAGCCAATCAAATCACAGTAGGATTCAGTTATTGATGTCATGTATTGAAGCTGAGAGGAGGACATTTGTCAGTGTGTTGTGTGATCACTATCAAGTTGGTTGGGTTTTTTTGTCTTCTTTCATTTAGTGAGCTTGTAAAATGTAATAAAATTAAAGTAACGGTGCAAAGAGTTGACTGGTTGCCCAGAAAGCGATGTAAAATAGTATTATTAAGTGAACAAGGCTACAATTATAAAGAAATTAGAAGAAAAATTGGTGGAAACTTAACCAAAGGTGGCATTTCTACTGTACACTTTTCCCAAAAGGTTTCCACAATTTGGGCCACTACTATAAATCACTTTTTTTCAGTGCCGTTGTAACTTTGAACAGTCACTAAATGAACTGTTGTAAGTCAAGGACTATTTGTGCCCTGTCCATCTTCAAATGTAACTGAGTTCCACATCTGATTTATTGAGCAAGCCAAAGTCAGTCTTCCCAGCAAGCAGATTAAAAAAGGCCTGTTTTTTTCAGCCAATGACTAGTTTTATTTTCCCTTGGTTTCTTCTATCAGTTCTCAGGTGGTAACCCAAGTATACTAGACAAGTTAAGAACAATAAGGTTTTTATATGGTGAGGGGTTTTTTTTCTCCACACATTAGTTGATTTTGCCTGTGTGCTGTGGACTTTTTTGTAAATGAGCATTTTTTGAGGTTTACCTCTATTTATAGTTGGTGTGAGTCTGCTTCTGAGTTGAAGGATGTGGGGGGTTTTCTGATTTTGTGGGGATTATTGGGGGATAGGTCTGTCATATTTATTTTTCTTTTGTGGGTGCATATTTTGGTAGCATTATGGGGATTGATATTTGTTGGGTTTTGTGGGGGATAGTTGTGGAATATCATGCAAGACGTGTGTCTTTTTTTTTAATGTCACTAAGTCCCCTTATGGGAGATGAGTTTTTCTGGGGGCTTGTATGTGGTTTGGCATTTGGAGACATGATCTTTATGGATTTAAATGAAGAGCAAAAAAGAACAGATTAAGGAGTGATATATTTTAAAGCTATTTTTGTTTTGTTCAACAAGAGATGCATAGGGATGACAGCAGACCAGGAACAAATGCTAGGCTTAGAATGACAAGCATAATTTATAGACAGCTTCCATTTTAGATTCCTTGCCCGAAGTAAACCTTGGTTTAATGTCTTGAATGAATTAAAATCTTTGGTAATACTGCTTCGCGATTCCTGTGAGAAATATAAGTGGCAATCCAACTCAAGGTATTCTGACAAGGTCCCCCTTAACCTGGAAGCAGCCAAAATACTGTTCTGTTCTTGTTTTTCTTAACCTTGTGAACTCTAAGATGTATGGACCTCAATTCTCAATTCCCCAGCTAGCATCTTAAAGGTTGAGACAAACTATATTAGATAATCACAGAAGAAAACTGGGTGTTCCCAAGCCACAGTTTTCGGGGTTGTGAGCCAAGTCTTGTCTTTTAAAATGGAATCTGTTTTAAATTACCAGCAGTCTTTTCCTCTTCCTTCATAAAGTGTTAGGTGACATTATACCTTTACTTAGCAGGAGCCATTGTACTCAATCCTTTCCTTGGCAATCAATAATATAAAAACAATGCATCCATGTTAGATGACCAATAAGGGAAAATATATGTAGCTCAGGGTTGAAATGAGAAGGTCTTTGATACTCTCTGAGCTTGGTTGTTTTCTTGCAGATGTTTCATTACCTAGTCCAGGGGTAGGCAACCATGGCTCTTTTATGACTCGTGGACTTCAACTCCCAGAATTCCTGAGCCAATCACACTGAGGGGAAAGAGAGAAGTTTCCAAGCTGAGCCATGCTGGCTCAGGAATTCTGGGAGTTGGTCCACAAGTCATAAAAGAGCCAAGCTTGCCTACCCCTGACCCAGTCTATCATTAGTCTGAGTAGTATAGATGATATTACCTAGTTTGGGTAATGAAACAAATGCAAGAAAACAGCCAGGCTCAGAAAGCACCAAAACCCACTCATGTTCGAAAAGGTTGCATCGGATTTATTTATTTTTATCACATTTTTTATTAGTTTTTCAAAATATAAAATATAAAAGGAAATTCAAAAAAGTAATAGAAAACTAGTAGGAGGGGGAGGGAAAAAGAAAAAAACATGGTGTAAAGAGGAAAAAGTAAAGAAAAAGGCACTGACTTCTAACTCTCTTTAGCACAGTAGAAAATAACAGCATTATAACCTCAACTTTTTACTTTTACACAGCAGTATATACTAGCCATTTCTATAATAACAAATTAGCAAAGACAAAATCAAAGTTTTTTTTCATTGCCAGCTCAAAATCCAGAAGCAATTTCCAAATAGAAACAAAATTAAATATATTCTCCTCTTTGGGTAAAAGAATCAGTTTGACCATCTCTGCTTCTCCTAGCTGTGGAGAATAATATAAGCTTCTGTTTACTCATTAATCTTTATCATAATTTATATTAAAATAATTCCCTATGCTATTTCATTTTTTTTTCTGACCCTGAAGGGAGAAAAGGTTGCATCACATTTATGATACTGACACTAGCTGAGAGATGGTGTTTGAGAATGTACTCATTCACAGAATAAGGCCTATTCAAGAAACTTAAAAAAGGGTGTTTATCATGAATTAAATGCTATGCATCAGGGAGGATCCTACAAGGAAGAGGTATAAACATTCCAGAACAAATAGGAGGAAGAGGAGAATTTTTTTATTAAATGTTATTAAATTTATATATGAAATTCTATTTACTTATTAAAATTTTTATGCCACCCTTCTCCCCTAGAAGATGACTCTGGACTCTGCTGTAAAGATGCAAAGGTTTTGAAAGTCTCAGTCCTAAATCAGTACAGTTCTATTCGCTTTATCACTTTATAGTTCTATTCATCTGATAGCATTAATATCCAAACAACTTCAACAGTGTTTTCTTTAGTGTTATGTTTGGACCGTTCTTTTAAAGTCCATCTTGTAGGAGGTTGTTGAAGTGGGTGTCTCCTAACTGATGGGCCACTATGTCTCTTTTTGTAACCATCTGTTGTCAGGTAAACAAACATACAATGGCATCATAATGATGTTGATTCTTTCACAAACAGGGTTCTGGCCTTGTGGAATGGGCTTCTGCTGGGAATCTGAAGAGGACATGGGTGAATTACGGAATTGATAAACATTGTTGGAGAGATCACGAAGAATCAGGAGAAGAATTTCTCTACCAGGCCACCCAGTGTAAAAGTGTCTGGATGCCTATGGGTGACATATTTGCCAACTGAGCTTCAGGGAGGTAATTGGGAGGTGGGGCAGAGTAAAAAAAAAAAAACCACCCCTATTGTTGATAATAAAAGAGCATTTCTCCATTTTGTTTAAACTGGTATCAAGCCATTTTGAATGCAATTGGTAGTTCTTTCTGGGTGTTTTCCCTTAGCAAATTCTCATTCCTAGTAAGACAACACAGCCTCCCTCCCATGTATCCTCATCCATCCCCAGGTTAAATGTCATGTTAGTAAGGTGACCAACTTTTTTACAATGAAAAGGAGGACACAAATAAATTGAAGAAAAAAAATATTGTAAATAAAAGAAACATTTTATTCATTGCAACAATAATATAGACAACTTGCATGTGCAAAGTTTGCCAGCCGGGTGCTCAGCAGCAATTCCTATTGGCTTTCGAAAGCCAGTAGCGGGAGTAGCACAACTCATGCAAAAGTTGAAAAAAAAACCATCAAAAAAAGGTGCCGGAACACCATTCTGAGCGTTCTATGAGGGAAAAAAAGCCCTGCAGATTAGTCTTCAAATATCGAAAAGGAGGACATGTAGGAGGACACTTTTCGAGGGAGGACAGCACTTATAAAAGGAGGACTGTTCTCCCTAAAGGAGGACAGTTGGTCACCTTAATGTTAGGCAACTGTTAGGCGGTGTGGGGCTACCCTTAATTCTTTTGAAAGAAGGACCACATAGTGGCCAAAAAAATCACAAGGAATTTCCTAGCACCTTTTTCAGACTACTGTAATGAAGAGTTGAGAGTTGAAGCTATTGAGAGTTGAACATAACTTCATCAGATGCATGGATGGCTAAAGCAGTGTTTCTCAACCGTGGCAAAGTGTAGACTTCAATTCCTAGAATTCTAAGCCAGCCATTCCTCATGCTGGCTGAGGAATTCTGGAAGTTGAAGTCCACACATCTTAAAAGTTATCAAGGTTAAGAAATAATGGGCTAATAATGGGTTAAAGTGACATGGAATTTATAGCAGGATGTGGCAGAGGAAGGGAGGGAGGGGAAAAGACAGGATGATTATTATACAAGTGATGGAGCTGCAAAGTGGTTGAGATGGATTTTTGGATTTTAAGGGGGATTCTGATAGATTTATAAGGTAATTTTACAGGGTTTCTTTGTTTTTGTAGAATTTGCAACTATCCCATTTTATGGCTTACAATATAGTATTCACACTTTTCTCACTGGGCACCACCTTTTGGCAATTGTGATGAGAGGAGCCTGCAAGGTCTATAGAAAAGACTAATCGTCAGAAGCTCCAATGTGTCTCACATTGCTTAGTCCAGGAATAGACTGTTACCCAGTAAAAAAGGTCAGATTTAGGATTGCCAAATGAGATATTTCAGGAGCTGGATTAATTTGTCAAATGTGTGTCTCTTATCCAAGCTTAGTCTAATTGCAACTGAATTAGTTGTAATTTAAAGAGAGCCAAGTTGGAAAAGATGGATGATTGTTGTCTTTTTTTTTTTTTTGGTAACAAAAATTGCCACTTCCTATTCAGCTCAACGCAATATTCTTTGTAAAAAAAATTTTTCATCACTCAGCTTAGGGAAGGGAGAGAGAGATAAAGTTCAGTGGTAATATGATTTATTGTGTTCAGAAAGTTCCTGGTTGTCATCTGTGATATCTCCATTCACTTGTTCATCAAATGTCGACGTCATTGAACTCCAGAAAAACTCTGAACCACTTCACAATTAAAATAAGATAGAAAACAGTAAAAAAAGAACACCAACTCCAATGGAAGGGAATATACATAGCTCAGATTGAACTATGAAGTGCTTGGTGCTCTCTAAGCTTGGTTGTTTACAGATGTTTCATTACTAAACTAGGTAGCATCATCAATGCAAGTAAGTGGGGGTGAGAAGTGAAATGTCTTCAAAGAAAAACAAAGTCCAGTTGCCTCATCAAAAAGCACCTTGGGGATAACTACGATCTGGATCACTGAGAATCTCCATAGACATTCAGCTATCAATAGACACACAGCGATAAAACACATTTACGCATCATTCAAAAGAGACAATAAAAAAGTTAAGCAGGAAAGAGATAGGAACACATCCTTTCCAGCAGCCAACACCAGATAAGTAGGGTTTAATACCAATCAGGCAGAAAACAATATCCTAATCAAGGAACTATCAAGGAGAAAAACTACGCCTCCATCAAAACAGGCAAGGCAAGTTACTGTATATAAACAGAGAACAAATAATTATGCTTACTAATAATGTAACTTAAAATGTTGAGGATCTGTTGTCATGCTGGCTGAGGAGTTCTGGGAGTCCACACATCCTAAAGTTGACAAGATTGAGAAACACTGGATTAGACTGACCATTATGGATGTACATTAGCTTATTGCAGTGTTAATTTTTTTTTTCAGTTTTAATTTTATTATTTTTCCATATTTCTATTACTTACACCTGTGGAGCCCTTGATGCTCTCTGAGCTTGGTTGTTTTCTTGTATATGTTTCATTACCTAGTGGGGTAATGATGATGTTACTTAGTTGGGTAATGAAATGTCTACAAGAAAACAGCCAAGCTCAGAGAGCACCAAGGATTCAATCATTCAACCCAGAGCTACAAATATTCTCTTCTATTGATAGCACTTATCTTCACCTCCCAGAGGCTTGATATTTCAGACATTAGGTGGAAAGCCCCAGCTTTTAAAGTTTGTTTTAGACTTCATCCTTTCCTTCTCTTTGGGGCACCAGAAGTTTAACAGATTGAGGCATAAAAGGTTGTGGTATTTGCAGACTTGCTTAAAGTGTAAACATCAGATATGCTCGGATGAGCTTGAGTAAGAAAAGCAATTCACAGTTGAGTTCTGGAATTCTTTGTGACTCAGAAATGAAAAAACGCCCACAATTTGCAGTGACTTCATGATCCTTCAAAACTACTTGCAGAACAAGGTTATATTGAGGTTAAGAGGGCTATCTCAAGAATCGTTTCTTAAACTGGCACCTTTCACATCTGTTGGGATTTAGAATCTGAGCTAGCATAATCATTCATGATGCTGTGAATTCTGGGAACTGTAATCCCAATAGAACTGGAGATTGTTGGTTTTGGGAAGGGGTTTTCAACACAACTTGCTTGTAAACACCGTTGAAGTTCCATCATTGCCTTGGGTCAATGGGACATTTGAGACCTCTCTCACTAGGAAAGGCTGGACTCTTAAGGGATCAGTGGCAAAGCTGCTTCCCAAGTAATCAAACTCAGCTATTCTGCAGCTTTCCTTTTTGAAATGTGGCATGGGAGAAAAAAACTTCCTTCAGGCTTTTTCTGATTGGTGACTCTCTGCTTCTCTTCCCAGCATCCCTTTTACACCATTCATTTGGATGGAATGAAAAGGGAAAGTGACTCAAATGTCTACCATACTTTAAATACATTAGCAAGGCATAGGAAAAAAAAACTACTTCCTTGCCCAATCTCCAGAGTCTTTTTGTTTATTTCTGTTTTTATTCTAGGAATAGTTTTCAGGGCAAATTATACAACTGCATTTAAAAAAAAAAAATCTTAAGAGACCAACACAATCAACAACAGCAAGAACAAGAACAATGCCAATAGCTATGGTGTCAGACCTGCCCTAGTCTGATCACTTAGGGAAGAAAACCCCTCGACTCCATTTGGTTGAAATAAAGGTACTTTTACTAAGAGATGCTGGTTGTGGTAAAGTCAGGTGGAATCTGAATTCTTGCACAAAAAGACAAGAACTATTCCCTTCAGTCCTGTCCCTTTCCCCGTGACTGGTCCAAATCCAGCCAATGCAGTGCCACCTGGATGAATTGGGAACTCTGAGGTGTTTCGGCTGATAACTTTCCACATTCAGGGTAAACGGCCTTGAAGACTTGGTGGCACAAACCGGTCCCACAATGATCTGCTTTTCTTCAACTGCCATCCCCTTTCTAATTCCCACACAAGAATGCATACAGGTTTATGACTGCCCATTTGGTTCTCCTTCATGCCTCCTTCATGCCTCCACCCACCCCCCAAGTCTTTTGATGATAGGATGCCAGAGCTGGCGCCAAACTGAAAATGGTATAAAAAAGAAATTATTAAAGTAGAAATGTGAAAAATTCTTCAACTAGTCCTGGAAAAACAGTCAAAGGACTTCTGAAGAAAGCATTCCACGGATTCTGTCTTGCCTCATTGGGCGAGAAGCTTCAGGTGAAGATCTTAGATCCAACCAGTTAAATGCTTAAGAATCATATCTGATGCAGTTCTGAAATTTTGGTATCCAAAGTAATTCACCTTATTCTCCTTACATATGACGCTTATTCATCAGCACAAAGACTTTGTATGTTGCATTAGGATACTATAAACCAATTATGGTTTGTAGTAAGGATGTTCAACCTTGACATGCTGACTGGGGAATTCTGGGAATTGAAGTCTACAAGTCTTAAAGTTACCAAGGTTGGACACCCCTAGTTTATAGAATCAATAGCAATTGTGAGATTGCATAACACACTATTCCTAAACCATTTATTTGCAACTCATTCTAGTAAGGTTCACATGAGTGAGGTTATGGCTTCGCATTTTCTGCAAGCTGAACCAAAATGAGAATGAAGGTCTTTTAACATGCCCTTGCTTAATTCCAAGACGCCCATTAAGTGGTAGAGGTCATTTAACCTCAATTTAGTCAAGACTTCTTATTGCCACAAGAAGCTGTACAGCACTGAGATATGAAAGAGAAGTGTTAAGGTGGACCAAACCGATATCCAGCAAGCATCTGTTTCAGAAATGCAGGAGGGAATCTTTTACAACTATGATATAAATGATGCGTGCCTCCTCAGGTGGTGAGAAAGCAGGAGTATCATACTCAAGGATCACCTTTTATTTCATGGGAATAAATGCACTAGTTTTAACTTGCTCTCGGAACTGAAAGCCAGGGCTTATCAAACTACAATCTCCAGAATCCTACGGTGGGATCCACAAGAATTTGATAGATTCTGGAAGGTACAGGTAGTCCTCAACGAACAACCAAAATTGAGCTCCAAATTTCTGTTGCTAAGTGAGACAGTTGTTAAGTGAGCTTTGTACCATTTTACAACCTTTCTTGCCACAGTGGTTAAGTGAATCTCTGCAGTTGTTAAGTTAGTAAGATGGTTGTTAAGTGAATCTGGCTTCCCCATTGACTTTGCTTATCAGAAGGTCACAAAAAGATCCTGGGACAGTGCAACCATTATAAATATGAGCAGTTGACAATCTTTTGAATTTTGATCACGTGGCCATGGGGATGCTGCAACGGTCATAAGTGTGAAAAATGGTCATAAGTCCTTTTGTCAGTATTGTTGTAACTTTAGTCATTAAACAAACTGTTGTAAGTCAAGGATTACCTGTAACAGATTCCAGCCCTGAAAAGGTACTGAAGAGCTGTAATACAGATGAAATTCCTTCTAATTTCAAATTATTGACACCCTGCCTTTCTGCTTGCCACTGTGTGACCATTTTCAAGAATTAAACATATCCCTCAAATGTACAGTATAAACAAAACACCAGATCTTAGGACCTGGACATCCTTCCATTGACTTGTTTTTGTTCAATTTTTCAGTACTCAGTCATGTCCGGCTCTTTGCGATCCTGAGGACCATAGCACACAAGCCCCTCCCCCATCCACCACTGTCTCCTGTAGTTTACCTAAATTCATGTTCATTGCATTGATGGTACTGTCTAACCATCTCATCCTCTGCTGTCCCCTTTTGTCTTCAGTCTTTCTCAACATCTCATTAGGTGGCCAAAGTATCTGAGCTTCAGTATCTGATTGTGTTATGACCCAGGTCACCTAGGCAGAGGCAGGCATCACTGGGGTCCTTTATTGCTTTGATTGAAGACCACAACAAACGGCCCTGCAATGGCCTGGCAAGGCTCCATGCCACACTACCCTGAAGGCAGCAACCCTCAGTTCCCAAAAGGCAATAAACAACAAAAGATGTCCAAAGAGAGGGTGCAAGCTCACAGGGCAAGGTCCAGAATCCAAGCACAAAGGTAAAGGCAAGTCCACAGGGACAAAGACAAGTCCACAAAGGAAAGCGAGTTCACGAGGCAAAAGACAAGTCCGGAAGGCAAGGCAAGGCACAGGCAAGAGCACAAGTCAAAGCCAGGGCAGTGTAAGCCAAAACAAACAATTGTTCCTGACAAAGACAAATTTCCCCAGCTTCTCCTTAAGGCAATCCATGCCAGGAGTTCCTTGTGAGGAGGGGCAGGGTAATCTTCTCCTAAATAGCCACACAGCGCTCCTTTGAGCCTGCCTCTGCTCTATTCTCCATGGTCTTGGATTGAATGGGGGAGGCAGCTGTTCCTCATCAGAGGGGATCTGCTGCCTCTCAGCACCACTGCCTGTCTGCAGCCGATCCCTGTGTCTGTGAAGGTAGGCAGTTTCCCATCCAGTTGACCATCTCCCCCAATGCTTGAGGGGCCTGGGGCAGCATTCCAGGGGAGATGTGCCATCCCTGTTGGATGGTCCCAGTTCCAACTCCTCCTCGGAACCAGGTTCCAACAGGGCAATGACAGATTGGCTTCTTAAGTATGGTTTAAAGGGGGGGACTCTTTTCCTGCTTCTAGCATATTTATTTAATTATTTTTAATCTCACTTATCACTCATGTGTAAAGGATAAAACAGAGAACCTTTTTTTCTCTCAAGAGCCAAGTATTATGTGAAATTAACTTGATGGGTACATAAGGGAGGAGGATGTGAAGTCCAAGATGAAAGGTATGTAGGTAGGACGCAGCTGACCCACCCACTCAATTTGCCCAGAAAATGAATTTTTTCTTCATTGACAGCTCTAGTTTGCCAAAGAAAGAGCAAGATAAGAATCCCCACATTGAAGTAACACTAAGCAAACTACAGACATAGGTTTTGTTCTAATTTAGCTGATTCCACAAGCACAAACCGCCAAGCAGGAGCAAGTCACTAGTTTGCAACACTGGTTTGTTTCCAGTAAGCCAGAGGTCTTGGCTTATCATTACATGTGAACCAGACAGTGTGGTTAAAGTCCATGTTATGAACTCAGTCACCCAATCAGCAACGTAAATGTAAAGAGATTGACCCATTTGTAGGTGTTTGAGTTCCTGTGATTGGATACAACCATTCTGTTATGCTTTAGTTGGATATTTTGTCTGTGTATATATGCCTTTCAGTCAGGGTCAACTCCTGATAATTACCTGGACAAGGTCTGCAGTTTTCTTGGCAATATTTCATGCTAATCTTCTCTGTAGCATTCCAATTTTAGTATATGTGCTGTACACTTGGCAATATTGCAGGTATGATTTGCTATTTCCTACATCTAAAGGCTAA